TTTTACTCTCAGTAGCTGTGGCTTCCCAAGCTGCAGAAAAATAGCTGTAATGACTAGGTAGGGTTGTTATAATTTTAGTTATTAACATTTGCTCAGACACGTTTCCCTTAATAGCATTCAGTCTTGTGTAGAGATTTTCCAGAGTACTCACATGGCTCATGATGGAAGTACCTTTCTGATATTTAGCGTTGAAAAATTCCTCCAGAAGTTGGCATCTTTGTTCGGTGTCATCTCGTTCATAAAGTTTCAGAAGTACGTCCCACATTGCTTTTGCGCTGTCACAGTTCATGAGATGAATCATCACACTTCTCTCCACCGTTTGGACGATCACTTTTTGTGCAAGAGCGTCTCCTTTCTGCCATTCCTTGAGTTGTTTTTGGTCCTTCTTTCCATCTTCTCCATCCGCTGTAGGTTTCACACTTTGTCCCGTCATTATCTCGTACGCGTTTCCGGCTTTCAGAACAATTGTAACTTGGAATTTCCAAAATTGAAAATTGCTGGTATCTTTCAGTTTTTCAATGTCTCTAAGTTCATCGCGCTTGATGTTATCCATTTTTAATTTTTACTTTATTCTTTCAGATTTCACAAAGTTCAGAATGATTTTAATTTTTCTTATCTTTCAAAAGTTCAAAGAGTTCCGTATTTTAAAAAATTCAAAGTTATTTCAATTTTCCTGAACTTCTGGTTTCACAAAGTTCAGAATTAACTACCGTCACTTCAGTTCTTCACAAATTTTTAATTTTTTTTTTTTTTTAATTTTAATTTTAATTTTATTTTTCACAAATGGGGTTTTAATTTTTAATTTTTATTTCATCCCTTCACAAGATGGTTTTAAATTTTTTTAATTTTAGACACAAAGAACGGGGTTTTAGTTTATATTATTTGGTGCACAACATGATGAAAGTAGTTTTCAGTTTCTGCCCTTTTCCGAGCATCGAGTCACATTATTCCACAGGAACCACAAAACACATTAATCCATAGGACGACAATACCGCGTCGCGTTCCGCGTAATCCTGGGCCCATAACCTAATGAGGATAGGTGTTTTGGGTATTTTTCGGAGTAGTCATTATTGGATTAAGAATTACATATTTTATTGAAAGAAAACAGAGAACGTGGTCCGACGAGGAGATGTATTGGCGAACTAGCTAACAAGGGGAAGGGGCTGCTATACGCAGGTGCTTATCAACATTGAAATAGGACTCGCAGTATGAGTGAGTCGCCATAAAGCGACGTTGTCAAGATTATGATTAATTCCAGGGTTCAACAAATTTTTCCTCAAAGAGATATCGACGGTGTAAGTCGGCAATCATATAACTCGTTTGCGGTGTCTGAAAATCTCCGCATCTATATTATTTTTTTAAAGAGAACAAATTGACATGATTCCTTGAAGTTTTGGCAGAATTTTCTTCGCACAGAGAAGAAAAATCGCGGCAGTTTTAAAGAATTGCCATTGAGTAGTTTTCGGTTTAAAAAATAAAGTATGACAGGAAGTCTGCGACGTCGCAAACCGAGTTATGTGATTGCCGACTTACACCGTCGAATACCGTCGATATGCTGTTTGGTGCAACACTAGGAACGACCATTCAGGAAGGCAACTACAAACTTGTTTCGACCTTGTTACTTGTTGGGCCAATCCTCAGTGCAGTGCACTGCCGTGCTAAGGAAAAACGCCGTATGAACATTCGAGAGTTGCCAAGTTTCCTTTGACAAAATGTTTATTTTTGAGGAAAATTATGAATATTTTTCCTTGACATTTTCAGGAACTTCAGATCAAAATACGAACAAAATCCTCTGAAAAATTGGAAGAAAAATATTCATAAGTTTACCAGGAAATTCGAGTTTTATCAAAGGAAATTTGGCAACGTCTGGAGGCTCAGACGGTGTTCTTCCTTAGCATGGCAGAGTAGCCTCCTGAATTTTCTGCTACCAAGCTCGGAGAGGTCATGGAAATCAGCCTGAGACTTGGGCAAGCGGTCGCTGGCACAAGTAAACTTCGCGTTTGAAAAGCGTCCACAGCCCGATAGTGACTGGAAGATTGCGAAAGTTTCGTCACAGATGTTTTTTGAGTTGCTGATTTCGAATTTGATGTCAAATTGCCTACATTTTAACACCCTGACCTATAAATTTAGGACAAGTTCATGGCACGCTGCGGCGCGGCGCGGCGTGCTGTTGGCTCGAAAAGCGTACCGACGCCTACAAACCTAAGGGGATACTTCAAGCATTGCGCAATGCTCGAAGTATCCACTTAGGTTTGTAGGCGCCAGTGAGTGTTCCGTGCTGGCAGCAGGCCGCGGCGCTCCCGGTGGGCGAGTGCAGTGCGGTGAACGATTTCTTGCGAGGAGAGCTCCCTGGCAGAGAAACTCGTAAATCGTATACATTTTTTTTTAAATTTTCGACTTTTAAAATAACACACTGGTCGTGAGAAGTAATTAGTGAACTATCAACGCTAAAGTGTAATAATAATAATAATGAAAGGCGGGTTGTGCGCCATGCGCGCTGCGGACAGCGCATGGCGGCTCATGAAATTCTCTCCTGTGCTCTGTCGAACATTAAATATCTTTGTTAGGTGTCAATTTCAGTAATTTTCGCTGCTCGAATCGTGCTCTACGTGAAATTTTAATTAGAGAACATGTATCAGGATGCTTCACTTTGTACCTTGTCTGGAGGTCCATTAACAAATTGAAACAGTCCTGCGGGCCGATTATTGAAACTTATAGACGAAGCTATAGACAAAGACGACAAAAGGGATTTGGAGGGATCCTATTGCTGGAAGCAGGTGGTGGCAATGGACATAGGAGGTAGGTAATGGACTAACTAACGGCAACCCACTAAAGACCCGACGGTTAGTCCATCATTTTCTTCCTTAGTCTATAAGAACCAACCATGTCAACCAATAGGATCGCTCCATGCTTCCTATATGTCTTCTTTGTCTGTCGCTTTGTCCATCAGTTTCAATGATCGGCCCGCTGATCTGATCGCCATGGATGAAATAAGTTATAAACTCAACCGAGGTAATTTCAAAGATTTTATTATGAGTTCAAGAAAACGTATATCTTACACTTAACATTGGGTAGAGAATAAGTACGATGCAAAACATTCAGATAAACGAAGCAAATCACATTGAGGCCAAGATACTAGAAACAGTGTTATCATAGACAAAAATATCGTAATCTATCATACTGTAGACAAAACCAAGATGATATTGTAGACAAAAACATTTTATCCTAACTTTTCTCCGCGTCTCGTCGAGAGAGTGGAAAACGCACCCTAAACCCTCATTCCCCGCACTATATTCATTCAAGCTGTCTCGAAGCAAGATATACGCGTCCTTCTTGGTTATTGTCTTTTCACTGCGTACGGTCCCAAATGACCTAAAATCGATGAAATAAAAAACACGTAAATGATAGGGGACTGCGCACGGAGCTGTCTTTGCTCGATAATGTATCCTGAAAAAAAAAGTATAGTAACATTTACTATGAGCCTACTTGATTTTTTACACAGTGCACAGCATGAACCTAACTCTTTACAAATTGGAGGTCGGTCATTAATTTATAAAGTTAAGAAAGTACCTCACTGAAAGAAAAGTTCGGTGTTCCATATCATCACAACGAATTTGGTTCATCAAACTGAATTTTCGGTTTGTCAAACCGAACGTTTGATATCTCAAACCAAACTCTCGGCTTTCGTGTAACCGGACTTGTGCGGTAAAATGAACTGACGATTAAGTTTGGTATGTACATTCTGAACGTTCGGTCACACGAACCAAAAGTTCAGTTCGACAAACCGAATATTTGGAATGACATGGAACACCGTTTACCATAATTTTTTTTTGGCGGATCAAAAAGACATTCTCTTCTTTTTTTCATTTTTCAAAAATCCCCCTCGGAGAAGTACATCCCTCCTATACTGCAATAAGCTTTGAAAATTTGAAAACTTGGTTACGGCTTCTCCTTGAATCCGTAACTTAGGTTCATCACTGCGTAAAGAGCAGTACATCCAATCACAAAAATTGCGGAAGTAAAAAATAAAACAAGCCAATTCCGAAGAAACAAAAAGAAAAAGAGTACACCCATTGAAACAGTTCTCTGCAATTTTAACATGGTGCGTCAAAGAAAACAGGTGCGAAGATTCAGTCTTTCAACTGCGAGTGAACATGTTCGTATTGTCATAAGTTTATTGTCAGTTGTACTTCGATTTGCGTCCCAATAACATATGAAACCGTGATAAAATATTACTAAGTGCAGGATTAACAAGTGTGTGAATTATACTAAACTGAGTACTCAGATTACTTTTCTGATTCCTCATGGTCATGCTTATCTAACTATTCACCCACACGACTTTTTCACGCTCAAAAGTAGAGTACGATAACACCGTGAAAAATCGCTATAATTTTTACCTTCAAATAGGAGGATAGGCAATTTTCACAACTTTCCACAACATTGGAATAATTTGACGGTATTTCCGCAACTAATAGCGATCTCTACTACTTCGATATTGAAGTCAGAAACGCCTTTTAAGCCTCATCTAATTTTTGTTTTGTTTTGAGTCAGTATGATCACTAAATTAAATTTCAAATATGTTTTTTGAATTTTGGTGTACTTATTTACGTTTTTAATCTGCATTCGAAAGGTACTTATTGTCAGAGTCTTCAAAAATATTTAACCCCATCTCCATATTCACTGAGCTTGAATCACTTTTTTAATAACAATATAAGACGGAGGACCAAAATTAATTGGAGAGTAATAATATTTGTTCAAATCTCAAAGTGACCCAAATCTTTTGAACGAGTGTCAAAATTTTATCTCAATCAAAACGTCCTCTACCCTCCTCCCTAAAAATCATCCCTGTTAAAGGCGTTTCGCCGAGAGGAACCCCGTGCGCAGATGGGGCGAAAAAAATAGATAACAAAATATTAAAAAAAAATAAAATAAATAAAAATGGCAACACGCACATCTGAACTGTTGAACAACTGAGTTGATAAGGTAATTAATCAGCCCAGGAAAGTAGATCTCGAAAACCTACTCCTCACGAGGAATGAATTATATATATAATTATATATATAATTCAAAATATTTATTTTATTCATTAAAATAAAAATATATTGAATACACGATACAGAAGGACTCGACCAATGAAAGGGTCTCCCCGACACAGACGACAGAGAGCGGAGTCCTTGAATTATATATATAATTATATATATAATTCAAAATGTTTATTTTATTCATCAAAATAAAAATATATCAATTACACGATACAGAAGGATTCGACCAATGAAAGGGCTCGATTTGTGTCTCCCCGACACAGACGACGGAGAGCGGAGTCTTAAAAAGTTACCTTAGCTTTAACGTCACTTCGACCTATAGTGTAGACTTACCCTTACGCTAAACAACAATGATAAAGTGATAGAGGAAAGAAAAACAAAACAAAACTTTTGAAAGGCAGCAGTTGTTCCAAATTCAGGTCAGTTCCGCCGCTGAGGAATTTCGCCGAGAGAGGGCTGGGTCGCCAATCCGAGAACATAATTTGCGACTGGCGATTTGGCAAGGTGGCAATACCGTGTTTCTTCCGCCTAAATCCACTAAAAATATCGATATTAGCCGAGGCAAGCTGCTTCATCAAGAATCGATTGTCTTGGGTACATTTAAATGGAGAAAATACAGTGTCGCCAACTTTCAGGAATCGCCGCTGGCTTATCTTTTTTCTAATTTTACATTTTACATTTCTCCTTTTACATTCTACATTTGTTTGCTTTTTTATTCCCTCTTTACGGTGGCCCAAATTTCTAGGCATCATGAATTTTCAAGAGTTTACAATCTTTTTGTCATATTTTACTCTCTGCATTCTGGGATCACAGAATACAGCATCGTGCAGCTGATAAAACATGTTTAAGAACTTTATCTCACATTTAAAGTGAGAAGCGAAACATAGGTGGTGAATGAAGAAAAAACCTTGATCTTGTATGGGAATCGTTAGATTTCACTAAACAGTAGATCAAAATAACCAGAGATTCGAATAAGAGCGAATAACCTGAATCATTTTGATGGTGAGGTACGACGTTCCGTAAAAATTTCCAGTATAACTTTACCCTCCTGCTTGTTGACCTTTTCAATTTCGACTTTATTTCCAGCGTTTCTTTAGTTCAGGTGTCAGAGAGGAATTTTGACTGATTTTCACAAACTTTCTTGGTAATTTCCCGTAATAAATTAACTCATTATTTGCAACCGCATTATTTGCATTATTTTGCGGTTGGCAACCGTCGATTTTCTACATTGAAAATGAGGAGCTCGTTAAATAGTGGCTTTCAACTTTAAATCCTATCGAAGTCACGGATGTATCACCTTATAGCCATTCGAACGGTGGCAAAGAAGTGTTCTGGATGACGACAGGAATCAATAAGATATTAGTAATTTTAATCACTCAAATCAATTGAATTTCTCTCTCTTGTCCCGTCAAGCGAAAGTCCCCAGCGGCGTCATTCGGTCAAAATCGGGTAGGTAGTCAAAAATAGAAGAAGAGGAAAGATCATCCCACGCCTAGGCCTTTTGGCAGCGTCAAAAAATCGAAAGAAAAAATTCCAATCGCCGAGATAGTTTTTCTGATGAAAATATCCTAGTACAAAAATTTAATAAGTTACCTTTTCCGAAATTTTGGATGCCTGGACTATTTGGAAAAAGGTCGACACCGCGTCGACCCGACGCAGCCATTCGTCGAACCGACGGAAAAGTCGAAATTTTTGAAAATAACCCAGGTCTTATAAATTTTGATGAACACTTGAACATAGTGAAAATTATGGGGCGCATTTGCAGTCTATTTGAGAAAGGCGCGTGTGATGATCTCTCCGCTTTTCCTATCTCTGAACTTATCGATAATCAGAGTTACCTTATTGCTGTGTAAAATGTTGTCATCTCACACGATCAACAAAGATATTTTAAACGATGCTCCCGTTCCATGGCCGTCAAAAGTTCCGGGATTTTTTTTAGATTTTTTCGAAAGTTCCGAAAAAGTTCCGGAAAATGCAAATGATCCGGAGCCCTTCGGGAATTTCAAAAGTTCCGGGAAAAATTCAAGATAATCTCAAAAGTTCCGGGATTCTTTTTAGATTTTTTCAAAAGTTCCGAGAAAGTTCCGGAAAATGCAAAAGATCCGGAACCTTTCGGGAATTTCAAAAGTTCCGGGATTCTTTTTAGATTTTTTCAAAAATTCCGAGAAAGTTCCGAAAAATGCAAAAGATCCGGAACCTTTCGGGAGTTTCAAAAGTTCCGGGAAAAATTCAGGAAAATTTCAATAGTTCCGGAATTTAGAACCAGTTCCGGTAAATGGGAGCACTGAATTTCTATACAAAAATACATTCTTACAGAAGACAAGCTGGTCTGTCTTTTTAAGAGTAGTATATTTATAATTTGCTCGTCTGCCGAGGTGGGTTAAGAAACGCTCGATACGCCATAAATTTTTCAATTTTGGAGTTAACAATTCGGTTTGGACCATTGTTTAAATCATCTAAGGGAAAACTTAATTGAAGGGGGGTCCGACCCCCCTCCTTCCAGGAGAGACTAAAATGGGGGGGGGGAAACCCCACTTGTGACACGCGTGTCATAGAGCGTTTCTATTATCCACCCCGATATGAAACATAACAGGCGAGCTCAAAAACATTTGAAAATAGTATCAAGTTGTTGTTTGATTTTTCGGTCATTTATTTTGCTTCACAGAATCAATCACGCCGTAAACTCATCGGTAGAAATTTTATAACCACTGGCGCGAAATAAATATTTAATCCTCCCTCCATCCCTCCATCTTTTTGAGGGCAGTCTTTCGTCTGGGATTCACCCTCCTCATGACGTACTCATTTTGTTTAGACTGTGCAAAGTATTTCTCTGTACAAAATATGTCAACAGTTTTTTTGGATGTATCAGTGTTTTTTTTCCTCCGAAAATAGAGGCATCGAAGACTATCGATGAGCGACTTGTTGGAAACATCAGAAAATCTTTCTTGGAAATGAAACAGAGAAATTATAGGGCTGGAGCTCTAAAGTTCTATTTTCATTTTTTTTTTTTTTTTGGTGAATTTAGTTGGTGAAACTTATCAATTGATCTTAATTTAAACCTACTTTTAGATTGCTTCTTCATTTGAATTCAATTAGACGGCCGCTGTGGAACTTGCAAACAATCTGTGAAAGCAATTGTCCCGCAAAAATACCTTTAATACTCACAGGTATCTCACCTAGGTGCAATATTTGGTGCTTAAGATATAACCCGATTGCTTCATCACAAGTTAATTATTGCTCATTAAACCGGTTTTTTAATCGCACCAGTTAATTGCAGTTTTTCTCAGATTCTTACCATTCTTGAAGCAGAACTTACATATTTTGATTGTATTGAGGAATAGATCAGAGAACATTGCTTCATTTTCTTTTACTCTCCATTTTGCGGGCCAGTTATGCGCTAGTCGTCGATCGCGTTTTGTCGATCGCAAAAGATTTAAATATTTGCATGAAAATAATACAATTTTCTCAAAGCCTGTTCCAAGTATTGCATACTCACCAGTATTCTAGGATTTGAATAGTTTTTTCTCTATTTGTATTGCTTTTTACGTATTTGAACAAAAAGTCAGTGACGTGGCGTGCTCAGCGACGAACTGATTGATCTGCCATTTAAACCTATGGAAAAGGATCGATTTGCGCGTTCGCAACGAACATTATATTAATCGATTCTTCACTATAGCCTCAAATGGGAAAATATCGATAGTCGATTATCATGCCTCGCCACTGCAAAAAAAGCCTCCTTTAGAAGGTTATTCGTGGCTTAAACATTTCATATAGAAATGAACATGCAGCTTAGTACATTATGTGCACACGCATGATTTTTATTTTTATATTTTCATTTTCACAGCTCAAGCAAGTTGTTTCACCAAAACTCGGCCGATCAAGGCCAGCCACTATTTTCAAGAACGGTCAATTCCCGGATGAAAAAACTAACTCCATTCCAAAGTTGCAAAATTGACTGGAACAATCCGTTTTTCTCACAAATGTATCCGTGCAATTTTTGTCCAAATTTTTCTCATTTTCGCACGAGATCAGGGGTGAAGTCGGTGAAATTTTCAGTTAGAAATGTCCTAGATTCTCCGGGTAAAACGCAATATTTGTGAGGAATTTGGCAACGCCGAAATGGAGTTACGTTTGTTCGTAAGGGGAGCGACGTAATGGTTATCTCAGAAGTCTGAATGTCACCGAAGTGCCATTGGCGTAAGCTCTCAAATGCTGCTTGTCCTTTTTTTAGCTTAAAAGCTCCATTTAATGAGCGTATTCTCTTTTTTTGAAGGCGTTTGCTCAACTCTGCTAAAGAAGAACTCCGTATGAACATCCGAGAGGTGCCAAATTTCCTTCAATAAAATGTTTACTTTTGAGGAAAGTTATCAATATTTTCCTTTGAAATTTTCACTTTATTTAGATAAAATTAGCTCGTGTTTTATCAAAGGAAATTTGGCAACGCCTGAAGGTTCGTTCGGCGTTCTTCCTTAGCACGGCAGAACTGGCCTCGGAAAAGAATCCGCAGAAAACGGCCTTTTAATTTAAGCGAATTAACACTCGGACTGATCTCTAGTCCCATGAGATGGCGTATTCAATCTTGTATTTTTCCCATGATACACAATGGCTTTTCGTAATCATTCTCCACTTCTATCACCATGGGAGATTGCCCAAAAATCAAGGGCGCGTATTTGTGGATTGGAAATATATTTCGTTCTTCTGGACGGAAGGTACGTTTCTAACGATCTCGAAACGTCGCCGATTTCGCGTGCGTCGAGCAATTTCCGGAGAAAGTCCTTCGTCGATGTTCGAATTACATAGGTCATCTGGTTGAGGTCATTTGGCGGGCGTCCGTTCCAGCTTGGCCCTTTCCCGCGGCCGAAGCGACGACTCGTGAACGTCCAGAGGGTTTTACTCGTCGTCCTCCTCGTTCTGGTACGTCACATACCTCACGGATGACTTCTCGCCGATGATCAGAGACTGGAAAATTAAATATAGAGAACAAAGGAAAACATTAGTTGACCGTGCTATACCATTTAATAATATTTTACGGAAAAAAATGAAATTGCTGATTTAAGACTTTTGTAGTTGAAAAAAGTGTCCGACAAGTTGCAATGTAGGGTTTTACAATGAAGAAATGTTAATTTAACCACCCTGTGGTTAAATTAGCTCTCCACTATTGTAAAATGTACATTTGAAAAATTTTGAACATATATTTTAACAACAAGGACGGTCAAAGTCTTCAGTTATCAAAGTTGTAAAAAAATGTCAATACTTTACGTTTCGGATGCGTCACGTCTTTAATTGGACGCATTTCTGTCAAATGGAACTATGTGCATTATGACGTGAGCCCTGTTATGCGTGTATTCTTATGGGTCTCAGGGCTCATGTCTTAATGCACATAGGTCCGTTTGGCAGAAAACGTTCAATTTACCCTCCTTCCCTCGCACCGTAAGGTATAGGCTCTGACCCCCTCATTCAAAGTTCCATACATTTGAACGTCCGTGAGTTATTGCGAGAGACTCAAACGAACGGGTATAAAGATAGAGCAATTTGTTCTCGGGAGCCGTGGAAGTATTGAGGAATTTTTTTTTGGGGCCTAAAAATTGAGACCAACTTTTTTACCTCGCACCTCCTTTCCTGTCCTCTCCTCCCC